TTCCTTGATCATCCGCAAACTTTACATCAGTTAGTAGCTCTCCTCCTACTCTGACTCCTGCTCCTACTTCCTCCATTGCTTCAATCATCATCATTTCTGCATAAATTGAGAACAGCAAGGGCGATAGTAAACAACCTTGCCTAACTCCGCGTCCGATTTCTGCCGGTTCTGTGTCTCCGTTTTCTGTTCTTACCACTGCCGATTGCAGCATAATATGTGAATGCCACTTATTAAAACAATTACCTTCTTTATAGAGTACTACATTATATACCTTATACCTATATATGCCCTAACCTAAAGAAAATGAGTTAATTTTTCTTTCGTTCATATGCACAACTATAAGAAAAGAAACAGACTTTTCTCTCTGTCTTTCTGTTTCTCTCTCTCTCTATTGTACATATATATATAGAGAGAGAGAGATTCTGAACAGTAGCAAAACCTGTTACTATTCTTCGTCTTATTAAGGGTATATTATTCCATTCGCATGGATAATCGCAACCTCTATATAAATGAAGAAAAAAAAAAGTCGTAAATATTCTATATAGCAGACTTTTTTGTTTTCGTCCCTTATTTGATGTATAAATTCTGCAGTAAAACGGAAAATCTCTTATCAATTGCTTTTATTACAAATTTTTCTGGTTAATATAACATAGAAACGAAGCAAACCAATAATAAATTGTTCATGTCAAACATGTTGTTTTTGTTTTGAAATCATCAAAGGATCAGTTTGATCAAATGAATAAATGAAACACGACTAGTAGTTCGAAAAAAACTGTTGTACTAAACAAAAGTCTGTTAGAAAAACAGATAGATAATTTACTCTCTAGTATAACATATAATTTCTGGTTAGAAAATGGGGTTCTGTTTGTTTAAGTTTTACAAAAGAATACAACACACAATGGTCAAACAAGAAAAACGTTTTTTTTCTTTTCTTTGTTCCTAATTGGCAACTCTCACAAATGTTCATAGAAAAAAATAAAAAAGGAATATCAAAAAAAGTATGATAATGAAGAAAATAAGAGAATATATATATATATATACTCAAGAGAATGCGTATAACAATATTTTCAGATTAAAAAAGATCGACTTTCTGTTCTAGTCACCTGTGTCTAGAAAAACATGTTCTCTCCGTCCCCTTTTTTCTGTGAATAACTACTAATATCATATAATAATCTTCTCTTTTGTTTCCTTCATGATCCAATTTTATTTGTTTTGTTTTTTTCATGTATATATAACCGTCACAACCTAATATATCATTGAAGAGCATCAGACTAAAAAAAGCCTTCAGTTCATTTCAAAAACGACTAAAAACTTCTTTCAACTCTTCTTTTAACCAAAACATGAAGTTGTATAAAGTAAGAGTTAAATATGAAATAGGTCGATCTAATCAGTTACAATATTGTTTATATACACAACAAGGTTGATGATGATAATTTAAAACGTTTAATTGTTTTTAAATATAAAACTAATTCTATGAAATTTTATAATTACATTTGCAATGATCAAGTTGAGAATCATCTTACCCCTATTGAAGTTGAATAATGAACGAGACAATATTATTGCTTTGTGTGTGTGTATGTGTTTTCTTGTTTTTTTTCTTCTTTGCAATTATATTCTTATACTCTTTATCAATCAAATATCTAATGATTCAACGCACAACATAGAGAAAAATGCAGAAAAGAACGAAAAACATTTTAACTCAGTCGACGTACACGAGTCAATTTTCTTGTCCTAATATCTTTCAAGATTCTTGTCTCTTGTACCATTTTCAGACAAGAATCTTGAGATAAAAATATATGTAAACGATTTAATTCTTAGTTGAAATGACAAGAGACAAGAATCTTGAAAGAAATAGAACAAGAAATTCGATCAGTGTATAGTATATAGCTATAAAACCGTTTTATAGCTAGAGATGAGATGAATGACCGACGTTATATTTTTCCGTTCTCTGTGTGTAACGTCAGACGAGAATAGCTCTTCTCTGATTTTTAAAGCTCATTCGCAAATAAACAAAATACAGCAAACGCTACAAGCTTTAGCTACTATTTATTGAAAAGGCTGTATCTGAACTTTCTATTGGATCATAATAAGGATTTTCAAACTTCCATTCAAACTTATTTTTTATTATGGAATTGGTTTATAGATCGATTGAATTTTTTTTTGATTTATTTTCAATGGCTTATTTTCAGTTAATGATCGATACTCCGTTGAGAATATGAGAGAGTAATGTTATCTCCTAGTTCCGCTTAAACGTCAAATTTTCTTTTAGTTCTGTTACATTTGCAAAGTTCGTTCTACCAGACCAGGAATGATCAAAGGATGGCTCATAAGTAAGTATTCTGTAAGCATCCGCATGAAAAATTAACAATATCTAAAGATAGCTAAGATGATTTTTGAGAACTCGTTGTATTGCGTATGATCTCTTTTGAAATATCCAGTGTATTATTAGTGCAGATAATGGATTTATCTATTTTTGTAGAAATCTCGGTTTCTCATGTCGCGTCGATTATTCACATCGTTATTAAAATACAATTATGGATTTTCTCAGTAGATCGTTTCTACTCTGCCGTTGGTCAACCAGATGTTATCTCAAATTCGTCTTCACCAATCTGTCAACGGTCACCCAGTTATCAAAAACAGATAACTGAAAATAAAATATTGACATCCCATATGAAAAATATGAATAAAAATGGTGAAGGATCGAAAACTTTGGCATTATTTGACCAAAAAATTCAACGTGGCATCATACCCGATCAATTTACCCTAACAACAGTGCTCAACATGAAAAAACTTATAAAAGGTAATTGTTCGGCGTATTCTATAAATTTTGAAAACTAAAACAAATTGAAAGTAAATCATTGGTTGCGAATTGGTTCTCGTATCCAGGTCTAGTTTTTCCAAATGGGACGTTCATGATTCCGGCGTTGTTGATCAGGATAGCGACTTTATCTGTCTTGCTGAGGATTTTGGCCGCGCCTTTTCGTACACTATTTAGTGAGCTGTTGTCCATTTCGATGATTTCAACTTGGCCAGGCTTGAGGAATGATGAGCAGGCCGCGATGGCTTTGGAGATGTTTCGGTTCGTGAGGAAAAGTCGAGCGTCGGTTGAGGTGAGTGCCCTGGCGGTTTCGATTCCGGATGAGTTTCCGGTTATTACTATTACCTTGTTGGTGAGGGCGTTGAGGAGTCCTGCGTCTTCGATGATCTGGAAGGTCGTGGGTCGGAGATCGGGGATATCAGAGGAACGGGTGTAGGATTGTTGGTAGCGGCTCATGGTGAAAGATTTGGTAGGTTGTTAATTTGTTTTCAAAAGGATGGATGGATGATATATAGGGTAGTTATTGGTGTGCTTAGAGTAAGAATTTATTGGGACACGAATGTTTGACCAATTCAATAAAAGTAGAAAGCAATATTAATGAAATCATACGATTTGAGTCATTTGCCTGCGCAGAGATATTTGCAAAACTAAACAATGTTTTTTCGAAAAATTTCTACTTCAAAAACTTGTTTCGCGTTTTTCTCAGAACATAGTTTCGGCGAAGTATCTCCAACGCTACTGTCCCCCAGTACAATATGAAGCCAAATATTTTTTTTTGTTTGAAAGCTTGTCTCTAGGGCTAGCCGACCTCGTGGCCCTTTTTTCAAAATAAGCCTTTTATTATCATATAAGAGCACATCTCTCCGAAAAAGGCACCATTTTTTGGGGGTTTTTTGAGTCATCAAACTTTTCATCCGTTTTTTTTCGCTTAAAAGGGTGAACTTAAAAAAAGGGCCACGAGGTAGCCCTAGAGACAAGCTTTCAAACAAAAAAAATAATTGTATATGTAATGAAGGGCCATGGAGATTTTTTGGAGATAAGATGACCTATTTTTGACCCGTGTTTTGCTCATATCTCTGTCAAATGTCAAGGTATCGAGCTGAAAATTTTACCACAGCCTTCGCACTTCAGCCCCAACACACACACATATGCTCCAAATTTCAGCCCATTGTATTTGACCAGGGCTGAGATCGATTTTTGAGGGGGAGGGGGCCTTAAGCCTTAATAGAGTATTTTTTCCGTGTGAGCAGAATTGTTTTAAGGACTGGGACCATAAAAATCTTCCGCTACCGGGGGCGGAACCGAAACAACTTTACGGGACCAGGATCGGGAGCCTTGATCCCGCTCATATCCAGCCCATGTGCTCTGTAAGCAGTCGATAGCCTGACTTTAGATATGTCGGCTAAAACACAGTAAAAAGCTTCGATCTTGGAGCTTTATTTCTTATGTTTGCACAACTCTAGTCGAAGTCAATTTGAACGATTCATAGAGGGTTTAAGCCCATTTTGATCAGTAGTATGCAGATCGAGCTCTAAAGTGTGACTGCTTAGGCACTTAGGGAGAATCTTGTCTTTGTATGAATTAATCGACTTTTGAGAGATCTGATAGTTGAGCTAAGCACATCACTTATCTTTCTGGCTCAAACTTCATCTGAGAATGATGACAATTTTTTTCCATATACAGTTAATGTTATAGTCTGTAAGTATCGTACTTGTTAATTGCCTTTGATAGACGAATCTTTTCAAAATTCGTTATGACAATATATGTAAAAAAGTAAATGTTTTGTTGGCTAATTTGGATAAATCAGTTTGGGGCACATCGATGCTACAGGAGATTTTTGAAACTAATCTGATTGAGCTTGTTTAACGATGTTTTGAGTTCGTTTTAGTACACCGGCTGGTTTATCCGATGTACTATTTATTAAGGCTATAAAGATGTCAGCTAACCACGCAGGCATCAGAGATAATGGGAAAAAGATCAAGGCAGATTGCCATCCCGGGCGATAGCGAATTTTTGGCTTTGTGCTTGATACTGCATGCTGTAATGCTCGAACGACAACCATCGGATCTTGTGCAAACTTCGTGATGTTAGCCATGTGTTTCAGATGTTGATTGAAAAACGTTTCGCCCCAAAGTTCTTTCTTATCAATAGTCAAATTATGCCACAACTGAGAGCACGCGTCTTCATGTCCTTCAATAATTGCTGTTCTCATAAACCCCGGTTCAATAATAGACACTTTTAGTCCCCATAATGCCATTTCCCGTCGTAGACAATCGGAGAAAGCCTCTAGAGCATATTTACTTGCACAGTATGCTGACACAGCAGGCGCAGCCATATAACCAGCTGCAGAGCAAATGTTAACAACTCGATTACCGGATCGTCTCACTAATAATGGCAAAAATGTTTTTGTCATTGAGACATGTCCAAAAAAATTCACCTCCATCACATCGTGATACAGCTGCATTGGAATCCAGTCAATCAGGCCACCTTTGCCCACGCCAGCATTGTTGACCAATGCGTATAAATCATTTGTTTTACTATTAATTAATTCGAAGGCATCATCAATATCCTGTTGTTTTGTGATGTCTAATTTGAACACTGTAGCTTTTGATGATAATTCTCCGACAAGCTGTTCTTTTGAAGCGTTTGAATAAACTCCCGCCAACACATTATAGCCTTGGCGATCTAATTCTTTTGCAAGTCTATTTCCGAAACCTGTATCACAACCACTTATCAGCACGTATTTTCCATTTGGATCGACCAACGGTGCTGGAAAGAAATGTGCATATAATTTGTATGTAACAATCAAGATTAATAGGAGAATAGCTATTATAAGCAGCATAAGAAATCAAACTAAGTCTAATTCTATAGAAATCTAAAAAACGTAGTCGTTAAAAAGAACGTATTTGCTACACAAAAAAAAGATACGTAATTTCTAAAGTGAAGATACTTAACCGACTGATCGATGGTCTATCAAAAGTAAATAGATAGATAAATAGTTGATAAAGAAAGAAAATGATTCTTTTTCCTTTCTTACTGTCCCGAAACGCAGCAGCATAATTTTTTATACCTGTTATCAGTGTGTTTGCATAGGTAACCACACCAGATACACGCGAAAACATCGTAACATAATGCTTTCTAAATAGCCGTCATCTTTCCATTTATCGGTACGCATATTACGAAATATATAAACCCCCGTCCATATTAGAAGCCCAGTGGGCTTCTATTATGTCCCGCAAGAAAGGCAAAATTTTCTCAAAAAGTATCTTATGGGGGCAGGGGCAATTTTCAAAAAATTTCTTGCCAGACTGACTTCTAATGCGGGTGGACTTCTATTATGGGGTAGGCTTCTAATGTGAGGGGGGCTTTTAGTTTAGTTTCCTTTCTGCTCCTCATCTACATAATGAAAAAACTTAAGCTTGTGCACTGATGCTACCACAAACTATCACGCATTTGACATAGAGTAAATGAACGAAGTAATTGAAGTAAACTTGGAGTTAGCGTGGAAAACCGTCAAAATCCATCGCTAAGACTAGAAACTATAGTTCATTGGAAAGCAGACACTTTGGGCTATCCAAAGACGTATAAATCTCAAATCCGCTTTTTTTGATCAAAAATCGACATTTTTTAAGTGGAGCCTTAAACTACTACCGGCACATTCTTTTTAAAAGAATGCGCCTGGTTTTTCGCAGTGTTCTCATTGAAGAAGTAATGATAATAGTTTTAAAAATGCGAAGATGTGATTCATTTAATGTAATTGAATAACATAGATATCACTTCTGGAGAGAAGCGGGCGAACAAAACCGTCACGATATAGCGGGTGCAGAAGATTAATTGTCGGTTTTTGCATTGATTTTTCTCGAATTTACACATGATCACAAAATTCTGTTCTAATGCTGAAAAATAAAGAACATTATGTAGATTCTAGTCATATGCTCAGGGAGTCATTTTCTGCAATTAACGCGTTATTAGCGTTAGTCCTAAAGCGTTTGAGCGTGTCGGTTTTGCACCATTTTTGTTGTAGAAACGCGTTCAGATGCGTTTATCTTAACAGTGACTAAACGCAGTAGTTTCTAACACGTTAAAAATTTAAATTTTAAAAAAGTTTAAATCCTGAATGCATTTGAACGCAATTTTAAATCTATGCAGTTTGCTGCATTTTTGCTACGCATTTTTGCTGCAAAAGAACACGTTTCGCAGCGCGTTGGGTCAGAAGAATGCCGATCCAGGTGATTTTCTTAAAGTAAGTTACCGTTCTTTTGAAGTACTAGAAGCCACAAAAAGATTAGTTTCTCGGCACTATGCGCAAATAAGTGTGATTTCTAGCTGTTAAAGGGTTCGGCTGGACGACTCAAGCATGGCACTAAAATGTAAACCAAATTCTTAAGCATACACTTTTGAAATTATTCTTATACGATCATAAAAATCGCTCACAAAATATACCTCTTTATTACACGTCGGTACCGTTCACTCTCCAATAGAATCTCGTATGTTCTTCATTTGACATTAAATCGTGTCAGCTCATGGGAAGATTGTTATTTTGTAGAATTCGAAATTCTGCATCTCTGTTGATACTGAAACACTGACTTTCATAGATGAAAAAGATAGTAGAGCATGAAAAAACGTGTCAGTTCGTTGGTCGAAGATGTTTTCCTCCGGTTTTTGCACAAATTTTCTCAAAATGAATGATAAAAATGTTTTCTTTCGACCAATTTTTTAGCTCAATCAAAGTCGGAAAATAAATTATTGCAACTCAATTTTGCATGCCCAGATTAATCATTTTCCTTTCGTAACACTGTTAGGCAGAAACGATAGCGCTTATCGGCTATGGCTTTCTTATCAGAGTAAACATCACAAAACTCGATTTTTCACCTTATTGTACAGTTTGTCATGAATGGAAGCTATTTAAGTGGAAATCAAAAAGAAGTAGTTTTCGAGCTGTTGTTGTGAAAAAGCTTTTTCACAAAAAAACTCGTTTTTCGAGTTGTAAAAAGCATAAAATGCCTATAAAATTTGTTATGAGCGTCTAAACTCCAAATAAAATGAGGCATTAACTGAACCATTTTCTGGAGAATTTAGTTCGCTATCGACTGGTGTGACTTTTAAATCTTTTCAAAAAACTGTCTGGATCAGGAAATTACAATTAAAAATTTTAAAAATTTATTTAACTTAGTTTCCTGCTAGACTATAAGAAGATATGCTTCTATTTGTTAGAACATTATGTTTACTCTAAAATCTACAAAGAAATCATTCATATTCGTTGAAAATGTGTTTTTGCTTCATATTAATGAAAATCTCTGCTAGTGTTTAGAAAAGTCATATTCTGCTAAAATTTAGAAAGATTTTATCTTATTTAGTGACACGTATTATATGGATTCCTATCGTTTTTCTTTCGGTCACGTTTATTAATACACACTTAAAGGTACGGAACATAACAGTAGAAAAAAAACGTGCTCACTAGTAATACGTGTTATGTAGTAAATGCTAATTATCAACGATTAAAAGTTCAACGGTCTATACATGTATGGCCATGCTGCAGCATAAACTCAATCTCATGTACGAATAGAAGACCTTTAAATCTGATGTGAAGAACAACGAGGCTACATATGGCCAAAATGACCTCGTGAGAAGAGTAAAAATAAAGCTTTAAAGTATAAAGCATTATCGCAAAATCGACTTTTTATCCGCTGAATAGGATCGGTCCAAATTTATTTTCTGAATACCTTATTGAATGAATATACGGGCAGCAAAGTATCTCTTTATTCAAATCACTTTTCGCATTTTGGCGCGAATAGTGGCGCGTTTATGTCGCGTAAAATGGGGCCACTATAATGGTGTAACTTGTAATTACTTTACGCATAAATTGCATCAGAGGTTAACCAAAAGTTTGTGACAACCCTTCTTTTATATAGGCAATCTCATTTTTATACTTTAAAGCTTTACTTTTACCCTTCTCATGAGGTCATTTTGGCCGTATGATAGCGTCAGAATAATACTCCACACACGACCTTTCTCAGCTATATAAAATAATGACTGACAGCTACCACTCAAACCGCCTATTGGACCTGCTGAAATTCTATTTTGGTTCTTGAGTTCGCAAAACGTCGCGTACTTCGAAGAAGGCATTAATACGGATAGAAAGAACGCAGTAGAAATCGAAGCTTCACACCGAATATCTTCAATTTATTATATCAACTTTTGAAATTTTACGGAAGGTACTTTTTCATCCTTTTCGCACATCAGTTTTCACATAAGACAGTAAAAGCCATAATGCTCTAAAGTGGCTTGTAGCTTTTCCTCCTCCTTATTTGTATGTTCTAGCTTTAATTCAGCGAGTGTTTTCACGGATTTTGCTTAACATTCCACGCGGAAAATAATCGTTAGAAACATCACAAAAAACGGTTTTTTTCCGAATGATCGTTAAAAGAGTCGTTTCAACGCGCGTTTTGTCTTTCAGAAGCTTAGAATAACGCGTTTTGAATCATTTCAAAACGCATTAATAAGTTTTCATTGTCGTTCACATTCATCGAAAAACACATTCTGTAATGCGTTTTCAAACGAATAGGTTATAAAAAAACGCATTTAAACGACAAAAAAACACTTGGTTTTGAAATCCATAATGCGTTTTTTTGTCAATTTTTTACGCCTGAGATTAACATAAGCTGTATGTGACAGAAAAGTTAAAATATTAGACCGAAAGCTGAAATACAGCAGACTGTGCGTCGATGTGTCTGTTTTACACGTGTTAACACACATTGACGCACAATCGCACATTTCTAGCCACAATAGAAGTATTAAATATTTCTCAGTATTGCTCAGCGGCTATGTTTCATTTATAACCCTCTTAGTATAATATTTGGCGGTGGGCGACCACAGTACGTGGCCTTGCAAGTCGATATTTAATACAGCTACGAGCATTTTCAGTAGGAAAAAAGCTGATGTTCTTATGTTGAGTAAGAGACGCAAAACAAAAAGATCAATGATTCGGCTTCTAAAATATCTAATCATCTGTGCAACATTAATTAACGATATTCTTAAGGCCCCCCTCTCCCTCAAAAATCGATCTCAGCCCTGGTCAATACAAATGGGCTGAAATTTGGAGCATATGTTGGGGCTGAAGTGCGAAGGCTGTGGTAAAATTTTCAGCTCGATACCTTGACATTTGACAGAGATATGAGC